ACGCTGCCCCACCCCCCCGACCCGACTGCAGGGTGGGAGGCGAGGTGACCCCTCCATCCGGACCTTGCTCCTTGACTTCCGATGCCCTGGGAGTACCTGCTGAAAACCAGGGGGAGTCACCCTCCTTGAGGGGCTATTCGATTGTGGCAGATAATAGAGGCCATAGAGGGGTTGCAGCAGGGCGGGGCCTGACCCCAGACCAGATGCAAATGACTTGATTGCAAGAGGCCAGATCTAAGTCTTCAATCTCAGGACTTACCTTTCATCTTTGGACTGCTGCCACAGCCGCACACCCCCTCCTCAGCCCCTGACACATGACTTCACTGACACATTTAACCTCTGAACCTCCTCTGTAAAGCAGCTACCCACCCCACGTGCCCCAGACAAAATGGGTAAGCAAGCAGATCAAAGCAGACAGCCCAAGCGAAAGTGTTTGCTAAACCCCAGATGAGAAGGGCTCCGGTGGTCCATTCCTCTTCCTTGGGCAGCTTTTTGAAACATCCTCTCTCCCAAGCTTCCATACCCAGAGTTCGCTGGCCCCTGAGCATTCAAACACGCACAAGCTCTGCAAGAGGCCCCTTGGTCAACTGATTTGCCCTAAGGAGTGAGTGACTGATAGGAGCTGAATCTACTCCAGTCTTGGATATGAATGTTGGTGATGCCAGGCCACAGGGCAGAGTTTCAAGGGGCAGGAAGCTGCTGCCTTTGCTTGCCCACATTCCAGGAAAAGAATACATCCCTCTCCGGACTTAGCGGATGTCTGGTCCTTTCAGCCATTTCACTGAGTCACTGGGTAAATTGAGGAGGGGCTAATAGGGGAGAGACGGGGCTGGCAGAAAAACAAAAACAAAAACGGGATCCACAGTTTTTTAAAGGGACCCAGAATGAGCAACGCTTCACCCCAGAGGGAAAATTCCTACTAGTGCAAGTTCTGTAACACGAGGACAGGGGAAATGCTAAAGGGCCTCCGGCTCCACACTCACCCCTTCAGCTGCCAAAACAGGGTTGGGGAGAGGCTGACCCTTTGAGCTGAGAAACCCCACAGGCCCTGCATTTATGGAATGCTGTTGGAAGAGGCTATCTGTGTGGGCCTCCTTGGACTCAAGGAGCACATAAATTTAAAGAGGAAAAAAGCATGAGCCTACAGTGAGGGTGCTGGGACCTGAGAGGTGGAGGCCAGATAAAGCAGGAGGGAGGGGGGAGTTTCTGAGGGTCTGGGGTATTGGTAGAAGCAGGCTGGAGGAAGTAGGGGGAGAGAATGCATGAGATGAGGACCCAGCAGGCCAATTGGACAGCTCAGCCAGCCAGCTGGAAAGAGAGCTCCAAGTCCAAGTCCAAGTCCCCCAGACCTCAGCCATTCCCCTGCCACCATCGAGATTCTGGCCATATCTGCACACCAGTTAGAACCGTTTGCTTAATAGCTGTCTCTAAATCACCTCACGATTTGTTATTGTTTTACTTAAATGTGCTTGTTTTTACAAAGAAATGTTATATCATTACCATAAATGGAAAACCAGAATCACATTACTATAAATAGAAAGTAACCATAAAAATAAATACAATGAAAATAAGTGTTATTAAATTCTAACAATGTATATTTGACCACATTTTTTTTTTTTTAATTTCAGCCAGATACTACTGCCTGAGGAAGGTGTTGAGCAGGGGCCCACTCTGTATTGAAAAGGGGGATTAGCAAGGCTGGAAGGGTGTTAAAGACACATTGGCAACAAATTTTGACTCCCACACTGTGATCAAAAGGATTGAAAGAGAACTGGAAAGGGACTCCCCACCTCCAACTCCTGGGGGTTCAGTCGGGGTTCTGAAGGCCTGTAGGTGCATGACCTTCAATCTCCTTGAAGACCTCTGATATCCCACAATTGGGAAACATGATTCTAAGTGTATTAGGTGAAAAGTCCTATTTTCCAAAAGTTAGGAGCCACAAGAGTTTAGTCCTGGCCAAGAGATAGTGATCCCTGTTGCAGAGAACGGGCCTCCCTCTCACAGGGTTACCTTGGGGAAGTCACTTGCTTCTCTGGCCAGTGTCTCCACCTGTACAATGAGGGGCTTGGACAAATAGCCTCTAGGATCCCGTTTGCTGTTCATTGATACAAGCAAGAAAGGAACCAAGGTTGAGACTTGTCAGGAAACTGAGGAGAGGTTATGAGGAGGGGAGGGACTGGGAAAGGGAGAAAATGGTAGGGGGGAATGAGCAGGGTCAGCAGGCCTCAGGAGGGAGTGATGGTCCTGTTAAGGCCATTGTTGACTGATTGGAGTCTAGATTGTCATAAACCCAGAAGTAGCCTGGCCCAGAAGATTCTAGATTCCCCATTTGCCCATTCTGGAAGGAACCTTATTGACAATTTATTATAGTCCAACCACCTCATTTTACAGATGGGGAAACTGAGGAAGGGACACAGGCTAGATCCTAGTCATGGTCAGAGAGCTGGACATTGAACTGAGGACTTGTGACTCCCAGGCCACAGCCCTTTCAGCTCCCCTGGTGTTTGGGGGTCTAGTGGAAATGGTTCTTTTGAAAATTTTCACTTTCCTCTAAGGGGCTCTTAGACTCTGTTTTTTCTGGCAGCTGGAAGAAACCTTGACTTGGCCTGAAAGCCCCAAACTCACCAGGGTTTGGCCAGTGCTGGGCAGCCCAGTGCTGTGCTGCAGTCACTGAGCACAGGATACCTGGGGTGAGAATCCACACACTGGCATCCTGGGGGCACTAATGCAGAGCAAAGAGCCCCAAACCAGGAGTCCACAGGCTAGAGTTCCAGTCCTGATGGTCTTGACAATTCCCTTCCCTCTCTGGGCCTCAGTGGCCCCATCTGTTAAATGAGATATTTGATTTCAAGTTGGGCTGGCAGTTCCTTCTCCTAGGTACCCAAGGACCGTAAGAGAAAGAGGGAAATCTCCCTCCCAGCTTTAGCCAGCAGCAGGTTACCTTTCTATCTGATTTGTATTATGTTGCTTCACATGCGGTTTTAAGGAGAAAGTGTCCTTCACTTAAAAAGAATTTAAAATCACCGGAAGGGATGACCTCTTGCTCCTAACATTTATAAATTCATGGTTGATTAGACTGGGAGCTTCTCAAGGACTGGGGCCCTGCCTTGTTCATCTCTGAATCTCCAGAACCTGGCACAGAATCAGGCCGTAGGGGGATGGAAGCCACTTCTTAAATGCTCTACCTTATCCAGACACTTAAACTCTTTGAGCCTCCGTGGATGCATTTCTAAAATGGGGAACATAACACACCTCTGGCACTGGCTGACTGTGAGAGTCTCACAGAAAGCTTTCAGCACGGTCCCTGGCACATAATAAATGCTCAATAAAGGTGAACTTGATGCATGACTGGATGGCTGGATGATACTAGACGGCCAGACATTTTCCCCACAAGGCATTTTGACCGTATAACCTAGCTTTTCCAAGGCAGTCTGCATTTTAAATATTTAATCATTGCCTCCCTGATTTTTTTCTGAATAATCTCTTTTTATATGTAATTTGCAATCATTTCCCCAAAATGATAGTTCATTAAAAGTACAACTGAGTGTGATTGAATTTATTTATCTTTGCAATGATTTTCATAGAAATAAATTTGCAAATCCTAAGACTGTCCTTGGGGGTTTGAAGCATGTGGTCTTGACCTTTCAAGGCCTGAACCAGTTGCAGGCATCCCCCCTTTCCCCCTTTTTCTCTCTCCAACAAGATACCCAGAGGCGGTGGCCAGCCTCTCGGAGTGTTTTCAGCATAAGGCCCAAGGGCCTGCCTGCGAAGGTCCTCCACCCCCAGGAATGCTGCTGCTTGGCTGCTGGGAGAAAGGGATGGTGCTCACTTCCTCCCCCAACCCTCTCTGGATGGCTGCGCTGGGAGGGGCCCAGCTTCTGCTGGATGCTCAGAGCCTAACTTTCCAGAAAGCAGACCCCTGGTACTAGATGCTGCAGATCAAGTGACTGCTGAACTTTCACTCTCCACCTTTATTTTCTTCATTAACTGACAGTAAATAATACAACACTAAAAACTACCATTCGTGGAGGGCTTCCTTGGGTAGAAGCTCAAGTTGTGAGGTTAGATAAACCCCAGTGCTAAGTCTGGCT